AAAAATTACGGCTGCCTTATGAATGCTTGCATATGGAGCATCTGCAGATCAAGTGGATGAGATCGTAAAGATGGGAAAAACAACAGTTCTGGAGTCCCTGATGCGGTTTTGCTCAGCAATTGAAGCCCTCTACACCAATGAGTACCTTCGGCAACCCACGCCAAGGGACATGCGAAGGCTTTTAAGGAAGGGTGAGATGCGAGGCTTCCCTGGCATGATTGGAAGCATCGACTGCATGCACTGGACATGGAAAAACTGTCCAAGTGCGTGGCAAGGAGCTTATGGCGACAGAAAATGAGTCAAAAGCATCATTTTGGAAGCGGTGGCTTCTTTTGATACATGGATTTGACATGCTTTTTTTGGTGTTCTAGGAGCTCAGAATGACCTAAATGTCATTGCCCAATCTCCAGTGTTTGACGAACTGCTACAAGAAAATGGGCCGAGATGCACATATTGGGTTAATGGTAATAAATACGAGGGACCATACTACCTTGCAGATGGTATTTACCCAAGATGGTCAACATTTGTCAAAACAGTGCCACATCCGCAGAGTGAAAAAGAGAAACACTTCGCAAAGTGTCAAGAAGGGTGTAGGAAGGATGTCGAGCGTTGTTTTGGTATCCTGCAAACTCGTTGGGCCAATGTTAGGGCTGCAGCTAGAATGTTTGATGTTGAGGCTCTTCGATCCATCATGATGACATGTATTATTCTCCATAACATGATTGTTGAAGGTGAATATGATTATGATGTCGTCGATGAATACGAGCCGGATCCGATGAACAACTCAAGAACACAAATCTACTATGCTCATGACCGGACCGAAGATCCCGTGCAACACGAGCCGTTGGAACGGGATGGACGTTACAATGAATTGATTGTTCAATGGTACACTTCATTGCAAGAGCCATACTGGCACATAACCCGCCAGAATGACTTGATTGACCATCAGTGGAGATTGCACGAAGGTGAAGATAATTAAAATAAGGCTTGTGGTTGAAGAATAAAGTGTATTGTTTTTTAAGTAATCTTATTTAGTGTTTTTTTTTTTTTTTAAGTTTAAATGGTGAGGTTATGTAATTTTATTTGGTGTTTTTTTTTAAATGTTTATTTGGTGAGTTTATGTAATCTTATTCAAATATTTAAATAAAGTATAAAAATTACATAAGAAATTAAATAAAGTTCTAAAAATAAATAAGAAATTACATAAGAAATTAAATAAAGTTCTAAAAGTAAATAAGAAATTACATAAATAAGAAATTACATAAGAAATTAAATAAAGTAGTACCAATAAATGCGAAATTATACAAAGTCTGTGGAGTTAGGATATGTGGTGCTAGGATCTTGGTTGCTAGGATTTCTGTAGCTGGAACCCCCTTGACTTGTTTCGGCATCTCTTGCACGCCTCCTTCGCACGACATCTCTTTTTTCTGATGTCCAAAAATATTTTGAATTCGAAGACAGTCCTACTAGAGACTTGTTCATAGTGTCACGATCTGTTTGAGCCATCTTTTCTTCTCTAAGCATCTCATTCTCTCGATGAAGTGCTTCTCTAATCATCTCGTTCTCTCGATTAACTATTTTTCTTTGTCTTTCAGCCGCCGCATCACGAGCCTCAGTAGCTACTATTATTGCTGCCATAGCAGTAGCTTTTTCCTCATCTCTAGCCTTTTCCCATGCCATGTTCAGTTCACCTTGACGAGTAAGTTCCTCCATATATTTAGTCTAGTCATTTTTGGAAGAACTACCTTTTTTCTTTGATGCCTTTTTACCTTGAGGCCTGAGGGACTGACGAGTCGGTGGGGTCTCTGGCACTTCTTCAGGCGTCCCTTCCGTGTCTTCAAATGTGTTGGCTTCTTGTTCGGCTGTGTCTGCTTCTGGTGAACTGTGTAGACCCATACCGTGCATGACAACTTCTGGACCGGTTGTCACAATTTTGTATCTAGGGCAATCTTTGACAATTTGCCAACATTCCCATTTGTTGAATGATTTGTTATGGTTCTTTGCATTGTAGAATGCTTGTGCTTGTAGTGTCTATAAAAATGTGAGATAAGATAGTATTAAAAAATACGGGTGTAACACAAATAAATAAATAAAAATATTGATGGACGTGGAATGCATATAAATTACATAAGAAATTACATAGAAATTACATAAGAAATTAAATAAATTAAAATATTGATGTGCGTGTAACACAAATAAATAAATTAAAATATTGATGGGCGTGGAATGCATATTACATAGAAATTACATAAGAAATTAAATAAATTAAAATATTGATGTGCGTGTAACACAAATAAATAAATTAAAATATTGATGGGCGTGGAATCCATATTACATAGAAATTACATAAGAAATTAAATAAATTAAAATATTGATGTGGGTGGAATGCATATAAATAAATAAAAAATTGTTACCTTATCCGCTAAACTTGTCCCACTACGCAGATTACCAGAAGCATGAGAGAGGGCGTTTTTCCAACAAGTAAAGGATGCGTTGAGTTTTTTCCAACGACCTTGAAGACCTTGACTAGATCTGGCCTCTTTTCCATGTACATCTTTTCCATGTACATCGCAAAACGATTTCGTAATTTTACTCCACATTTCTCACTTATCCATCTCATTACCCGTAATCGGGTCATGAGTAGTGCGAACCCAACATTCACACAACGTAACATCTTCAATGAGCTTCCACGAAGTAATTTTTTTCTCTCAAAGTGTACAAAATATTCAAATGTAGAAAGTGTAGAAAGTGTAGAAAATATTGAAATGTGGTGTAAGGTGGAAGATGAGGGTTAGGTATTTCTAGAAAAAAAAAATTAATTTTTTAAAATTTTTCTGTATTTTTTAAAAAAATTTCACAAATTTTAATTAATTTTTAATAAATTTTAATGTTGTAATTAATCTGGACCGTTGGATTTGAAAAATAATCAAATCCAACAGCCAATCAGCTGCCACGTGGCCAACGGTCGAAATTCTGACCGTTGGGCCTTTTTTTTTTATTTTTTATTTTTGGTGAAAAAACGTGGACCGTTGATCTGTGATCGGACGGTCCATTTTAAAATTCAAATTTAAATTTTTTTTACCGTTGGAAATCCAACGGCCTACAAAAACTAGCCGTTGGAAATCCAACGACTCTGAGGAGGGCCACGTAACCCTCAGCTGTTCGAAGCCCACTTGCGCTGAAACGCAGGGCCCGTCGCCTGGGTTGCTGTCTCCTACTCGCGCCCAGTTGCGAGTGTTGTGCACGCGCCAGCATTTTGGACCGGCTTCTGGGTCTGTTCGAAATAGGCTGGCCTGCTGCCTGGCATGAGCTCGGTGCCAGGCTGTTTGCCGGGCTGGAGCTTTTGGACAGCAGGCCGGGCTGTTAATTGGACAGCAGGTTGGGGAAAAAAAGCTCCGGTGGAGCTGCTCTAATAGATAGACGTGGATTCTAAACTCCACTTGACAATATTAAAATAGAACCTCAGACTCCAACTGCAGATGTGCCTACTTTATTACTCTCAATTTGTCCTTTCCCTACTTAATTAAAAAAATAAAAATAATATATATATATATATATATATATATATATATATATATATATATATATAGACGTGTGTGTGTGAGAGAGAGAGCCAGGCTAGTGTGTCACGAATTGTACATTAAGTTCTTGGAGTTTTGCCCATAATACAGTTTTCAGCTACTTCAAGGATGCTCCCTAGTTCTATTTTCTGTGGCATAAGATCCACCACACCAGTTAGGCCCTAGGGAATCACATTTGTCGTCAACTACCGATGATTTAATTTTTCTGCATGTAATTTCTTGGCTCTGTATACTGGGCAATAGATGTTGCAATGTTTCTGTTCAGTTTTGTACAGAAAGGATTGAACTCTCCTTTTACATGCATTGTCGACTTGTGGTTTGGTTTTAACCAAAAGATTCTTTTTTTTTTTCTTCAAAAAACTTCATTGTAATCCTTGGTAAAAATGACTTTTAGATGTTTCCAAAAAAAAAAAAAAAAAAAAAAGAAGATTTTTAGACTAAAACCATAAGTAAGATCAAAATATAATTTTAATCCTTTGATACATTAATAACCTCATTTATTAATTATTTCTCTTTTTCTTCCTAATTTTAATGTATTAATATTATTTCATTCTAATTGTAATTTTCATTTCATTTATCGTAATATATTTTGTTGTAAACATTTATACAAACTAATTTTTTTTGTACAATATATTTCAATGTCTTTTGTCTTCTTCATTTAGGTACATTAAATTCATTATAATACATTTCAGTGCATATATTTAGGTACATGCATTTTGATATAAACATTTAGATACATTAATTCAATATAATATATTTCGGTACTAACATTTCTGTGCATACATTTCGGCACACACATTTAGGTACATTAATTTAATATAATACATTTCGGTGTATACATTTCAGTACATACATTTTGGTACATACATTTAGGTATATTAATTGAGTCTTTCAAGTTTGAAGAATGTTAAATAAAATTAATAAATTAAAAAAAAACTTTTTTTTGGTCATAAAACAAATTAAAATTTGTTTATTAATAAATTTAAATATTTTTTGGGAGATATTAAATAAAATGCACATTAATTATTTTAAATTAAGGACACATCAAAGGAATATAATCAATATGTAATCTAACATCATGTTTATTTTAAATTTCAATCTTCTTGAATGATTAAAGTTAAAAAAATCTTTTTTTTTTTTTAAAAAAATGACATTATTTAAATTAGAGAGGAGGGGATGAACTTAACCTCACAATAAACTAGCAATAATATAGTTAAATTTGCATATAGCGAGAATTGAACAAGTGAAGAATTGTTTTCTTGTTTCAAAAAATTTAAAAGAGTTGTTTGAGTTACGAAGATTCAAAAAACATATACTGAGCAGAAAAGAAAGAAAGAGAGGACAAAGGTGGTTTGCGTTGTTCCCATTTTTTATAAAAAGAAAAAGAAAAAGAAATAGAAAAGCAGAAAAAAAAAAAAAAAGAAAGAAGAAAAGAAAGAGAGAGAGAAAGAAAGAGAAAAAAAGAACGAAAGAGAGAGAGACGAGAGAGGGAGGAGGCAACAATGGCAGCAGCAAAGATAATACTATCTATGTTGTTGGGTGGATTTGCGATACTGTTTTTGTATCTCTATGAGTCTTTGGTTTTAAAGCAAAGGAGGCAGAGATCAAAGCTTGAAAAGCAGGGAATCAGAGGGCCTCCTTCTTCATCAATTATCTTTGGAAATATCCCGGACATGAAAAGGTTCAAGCTCGAGGTGATGAAGAAATCAACAGCTGCAGAACCCAGTGGTAGTCCAATCTCGAAAGACCATCGTGTTTCCATTAATCATGATTGGCCTTCAACCCTCTTCCCTCATCTGGTGCAATGGCGAAACGAATATGGTAAATCCCATTTCTGTCAATATCTTAAATTTTGCACTCTCAGATGTTGGTTATTGCTCGGAGAAAATTGGAGTACTCCTTTTCAACTTTGACTCAATTTGAGCTTTGGTCCTTAACTAAAAATCCATGAGTATTAGTTTACGAGCCTGCAACAAAGCCAGGCAATGGTCCTTTTGAGAAACACCGTTAGAACTTTTGTCCACAATAACGTATTTAAAGGGGTAAATAAGGGATCACAGTTCTAACCAGAGTTAGCGAAAATGACCATTCCTGCACATTCAGGAACCAATACTTTTTAGTTCAGGACCAAAGCCCCAATTCACCTACAGTTCAAGACCAATGCTCAATATGGTTGGTAAGAAAGAAAAGAATGAAAAATTGGAGAATCTGCTCTTCACAGCTTTCGGCAGTGAGCAATGCTCTTCATTGATCTTGGAGGTAACTCTCCAACCGTACATGCTCTAATATGACAATTTAGACTAGAGCAAGTCTCTAACTGATATATCGTAGATATTCGTACACGAGACCAGAAGACTGGAGAATGTAGCACAAAAGACTTTGCAACTATCCCATGCATCTCATTGTGCACAAATTAATTTCTCAAAGCTCATATTTATCTATCCTAAGTTACAAGAAAATAACAAATTACAAGACATTAACAAAAGCATTTCAGAGTTTATAAGGATCAAGAGCAATCCAAAATTACAACTTGAAATATAAGAAGTCCTGCTAAAATTAACCAGAATTTTTTTTTCCTTTTCTTCGGACCAAATGGTAGTACACATATATGTACTTTGATTGTCAGATGATCATTGAAATATAACAAGTACTCTTGTAGATGTAATTTGATTTAATAGAGTGCTCTTCCTTACTAGTATCTTTTAGTTTAAGCAGATAATAAGAAATCTACCCAAATCTTCGTCATTTATGCGAATCTTGTATATATGTATTGGTTGCAGGGCCAATCTTCATGTATTCAACTGGAGTCATTCAGCATGTAAGTGTTTCAGATGTAGAGATGGTGAAGGAACTTAGCCTGACATCTTTGAGCTTAGGGCAGCCTGGTTACAAATTGTCTAAGGATCGCAAGCCTCTGTTAGGCCAAGGCATTCTATCTTCAAACGGCCCGATTTGGTCTCACCAAAGGAAGATTATTGCTCCTGAGTTCTACTCCGACAAGGTTAAGGTGAATCACTAAATCTCATTCTAGAAGAAGTAATTGCAAATGTAAGATATCACTTGGATGGATGCTTTTTATGACGCATTTTCATGTATTTTATTTATAATCAAATGGATCCAACTTCACTGTTTAATTTCAAGGGTATGGTGGATTTGATGGTGGACTCTACAACAATGATGGTAAGATCCTGGGAGCGTAAAATCGAAAGTGAGGGAGGAAGTTCAGTCTTTAGAGTGGATGATTATCTGAGAAGCTTGTCAGCAGATATCATATCTAGAGCATCCTTTGGAAGTAATTATTTACAAGGGAAAGAAATTTTTTTAAAGCTCAGAACTCTTCAGAAAATCATGTCGAATGGAAACATTGGGGTTCCTGGTGCAAGGTGTATCTATTTGCTACAAGAAATCTAATGTTCATGATACTGCATATTGGCATGATCTCATCTGCGTGCTAGATCTCATCAGTCGAAGCATCTAGTTCAAATAGTTTTACTATGTACATGGGGCATACATATTCATGACTGTATCTGCATTCTGCATTCGATCCTTATCATACTAATTTTTCATAATTAAATGTCTCAAAAAATGCTAGATACCTGCCAACGGAAAACAACAGACAGATAGGGAGATTGGAGAAAGAGATCCACTCAATGATCTTAAAGGCTGCGAAGCAACGCAATACTGAAGCTACTCATGAGAAGGACCTTATGCAAATGATACTAGAGGGGGCCAAAAATTATGATGACGCTGATAACCTATTTTCAGGTTACTCCCGTGATAGTTTCATAGTGGATAATTGCAAAAGTATTTACTTTGCTGGCCACGAAACCACAGCGGTCACAGCATCATGGAGCTTGATGTTGTTAGCTACACATCCAGAGTGGCAAGCTCGTGTCCGTGCTGAGGTGCTTGAAATTTTCAGGGATGGTATTCCAGATGCTGATATGCTTCGAAGCATGAAAACAGTATGTTACTTTACACACACAATAAATCTTGTATTTTAATCACTGCAGATGCTCTTTTAATGATCCTGTTTCAAACTCTTTTTGCAGTGCTGCTAAATGCGCTCTTTATAGGGTTTGATATAAAAATAGATAAACGTTGGGATGACAATCATGACATTAGCTCAAGTGTTTCTTGAAGAAGCACATGTTAGGTGCTTCTCAGGATGTGGTTTTAGGCGGTGAATATGTGTTGAATATTAGTCAAAAAAGTATTTATAGGGACTAGTTCTAGTAATAAAAGCAATACTTAATAAAACATATATACTTAGGTAATGAACGCATGCAGTATGTTACTATATGTGTACAGATTCATAAAAGTTTTCACCGAGGTGATCGCTTGAGTCTATAGGCTACATGTTAAACCCATTTATATATGTTGGCAGTTGAATATGGTGATTCAAGAAACCTTGCGCCTGTACCCACCAGCGGTGTTTATTGTAAGACAAGCCCTCAAAGATATTGAGCTCAACAACATCGTAGTTCCCAAGGGAACAAACATTCAGATTCCAGTCCCAATATTGCAGCAACTGCCTGATGTCTGGGGCCCTGATGCCCTTCAATTCAATCCGGAAAGATTTAAGCATGGAATCGTTGCTGCCTGCAAGTCTCCTGAGGCTTATATGCCATTTGGATTTGGTCCTCGGATTTGTGTTGGCAAAAACTTAGCAATGACGGAATTGAAGGTGATTCTGTCTCTTATTCTTTCCAAGTTTTGTTTCTCACTCTCCCCGGCATACCAGCACTCGCCAGCTTTTAGGTTGGTCATTGAACCTGAGCATGGAGTAATTCTCCATCTTAAGAGAGTGTGACAGCAGTTGTGTTTCTGTATTTCACTGTAAACGTTGAAACAAGAAGTTACTAGATGTCTTTCAAGTTGGATGAATTTCATTAGTTATTACTTTATTTTGGTGTATGTTCTATGATGTTTCGTTGGCAGAATAATAACAGAAGTTGTTCGGTGAAAAAGCTTGTTTTGTTCATAATCTAGGAAGACGTCCTTCTATCGGCTTGCAATTATAAGGACAGAAATTATGAGATCATAAGATTACACGCATTCATATGGATCATAGGTTAGATAAATTTAAAAGGGTCGCAATAGTTTTATATGCGAGGAAAGTATGACTTCTCTAAGGGGTGCCACATGCCGAAGTATTTTGGCAACGATAGATTTTATATTTTTTACCAACACCAAAAAAAGTGGAGACTAAGCATGTCACCGTGCCAAATAGTCATCGGAGGTAGGATTTCCTTGTAAATCATCTATCTGATCATAGGTTACATGCGTTTACGAGGGTCAAAGGTTACAAGAACTACTAAGAATCCATATGCATACAAGAACCTAGGGGGATAATACTAGGCTACATGTGTTTAAGCGATGAAAGATGTGGTAGTAACTTTATGTTAAAAATCAATTTTACATATATGGATTTGACCCACCTAACAAATAAGTATTTCTGAAGTCCAATAATTCAGATTCCAATTCTATATATATTTGAACAAAACCCCAGAGGGTGCCACTTAACATCATAAAACAAACAAATGGTTGCTAGATATAAGGAATATCAGAAGACCCCAAACAAGTAAAAGATAACACAAGTAGTCCATTTCTTTTAAATACAATAATATTATGGATTGCCAAAACAAAGAAGGAAGGAAGAAATAAGAAAGAAACAATGGCAGCAGCAAGGATGGATGATAGTATCAGTGTTTCTAGGTGGGCTTTTGCTATTAATGTTATACATTTATGAATTTTTGGTTTTAAAGCCAAAGAGGCTAAGATCAAAGCTTGGGAAAAAAGGAATTAGAGGGCCTTCTCCTTCATCAATTCTCTTCGGAAATATCCTGGACATGAAGAGCATCAAACTCAAGGCTATGGAGAAGCCATCAGCTACAGAATCAATGGATCACCATCTTTGTATTGATCATGAGTGGCCTTCAACTCTTTTCCCCCATGTGGTGCAATGACGAAATGACTACGGTACACCTTTTTCTGTCAGCCTAATTTCTTTATTGTCTCTTGGTTAGTGTTGGTCTAAAACTAAAAATGTGAAAGGAGTAAATTTAGGGTTATTATACAAAATGGTCTCTGAGATTTGCATAATCAATAGAAATGGTGCCTGAGATTGAAAATCAATAGAAATGGTCCCTGAGATTGTCCACCATCCATGATTTTGGTCATTCTGTTAAAAACTCTTTGGGCAATTTTCAAAGCTTCGTAACTCAATCGATTTTTAACCAAATTCAACCCATAATTTATCAAAATGAAGATAAGAAAGTGTAGAACAAGATTATACCTATTTTTAAGTCCATTGATTGCCGGAGATGGCCGGAAAATAGCCTGAAAGGTGACTGGTCCACGGGAAAACTGGAAAACTCGCTGGAAACTGGGTAAACTTTAAACGTTCATAATTTCTTCAATACTCAACGAAATTGGGTTATTCAAAAACGAAAATCATACTTCTCAATGAGACAAAGAGAATGGTATCTTTCTTTACTGCTAACTCGCCGTGGTTGGGCCAGAAAACTGCTCTAAAGTGGCTAACTCGAAAATGGTTAGCCACTTTCGAGCCGTTGTCTGACTAAACCACATCGAGTTAGCCCTTGAAAAAGGTACCATTCTCTTCGTCTCGTCAAGAAGTATTATTGTCGTTTTTGAATCACTTGATTTGGTTGAGTATTGAAGAAGTTATGAACGTTTAAAGTTTACCTAGTCTCTGGCGAGTTTTCCAGTTTTCCCGCGGACTAGTCACCTTTCAGGCTATTTTCCGGCCATCTCCGGCAACCATTGGGCCACCAAATCGGTATAATCGTATGCTACACTTTCCTATCTTCATTTTGATATATTATAGGTCGAATTTGGTTAAGAAATGATTGAGTTACAAGGCTTTGAAAATTGCCTAAAATCGTTTTTAACAGAAGGATCAAAATCATGTATGGTGGATAATTTTAGGGATCATTTCTATTGATTTTCAATCTCAAGGACCATTTCTATTAATCATGCAAATCTTAGGGATCATTTTGTATAATAACTCGTAAATTTATTTTGGCTTTTATTGGGATCATAAGGTACTTAGCATTCAAATGCACGTTCTTCTAAAAGCATTATGAATTATTCCATTTTATTGGTTGGTTAGTTGTTAGATGAATGAAATAAGCACTTAAGCAGTGCAGTCTTATGGATGATTTTGCTTAAAAATTGTGCTTTTGTTATGCTTATCTGGTGTATGTATATTGGTGGCAGGGCCAAACTTCACCTATTCAACAGGAAGCATACCACAATTAAGCGTTACGGATTTAGAAATGGTGAAGGAAGTTAGCATATGCACATCTTTGAACTTAGGGAAGCCTGTTTACCTGTTATCGAAAGATCGCAAGCCACTGTTAGGCCAAGGCATTCTATCTTCAAGTGGCACAATTTGGTCACACCAGAGAAAGATTATGTGAGAATGTGAAAGTAAAAGAGTTCTACATTGGTAAAAAGAGAAACCTTGCAAGGGCTTATCGGTTGGGCTACTCCCCATATAGCCAATTGACTTTATGGTGGAATCTCAACTTTCTTCATGATATTAGAGCATGCATGTCACTCAATTCGTGTTGTCTACGTGTTTGGCTTGAAAATTCGCCACAGGTGAGGGGATGTGTGAGAATGTGAAGGTAAAAGAGTCCCACATTGGTGAAAGGAGAAACCTTGCAAGCTCTTATAAGATCGTAGACTAAGGTTATGATTTTATTCACTATAAATGGAATGGTGTGATTAGCTTTATATTCCTTTTCGTTATTAGATGGTAGAAATCTCGGGGACGAGATTTATTTTAATGGGGCTCGAATGTAATACCTTGAAAATTTAAAATATATGAATATGTGGAGTAAATCGAGAATAAATAGATTTATGGCTATGAAAATTTGATTAGAGAAGTTTTAGAATTTTGTTTCCAGGATTTATTATAATTTACGTTGAAAAATTTCGATAAGTGGAAGTTGACTAAACGTAATTTTACGAGGATGTATTTTATCCTCATATATTTTATCGTATTTCTTGACATACTTGGATAGAGGACGATTCGACAAGCGTGTAGGCAAAAACTGTTTGACAAACGGAGTTATAACGAATAAATTAGAAATGAATGAAGTAGGGGCAAAATAGTCATTTTGCCATGAATCTGGAAAGCTCCAGATTTGGCTGGAGGTGTGTTTGGTGGAAATATGCCTCATGAAGGGCTGTGAGGGGGGGGGGGAGGAGAGCACGGGCGAATTGGGAAGGGAAGAAAGGAGGCAAAGCAGGAAAGGAGAAAAGAAGAAAAGGGAAGGGGTAAGAAGTTGTGAGTGGGTTAGATTTGGATGCTAAGTTGGTAAGGCTACAATTCTCCAATTCACATCCCCTTCATCTGTGTTTGTTAATCAATTTGAATTTTATTGGGCATCTTGTTATACTTTATACCCACATCATAAGGGTTTTAATTCCTTAATCCTTGTACCAGTTTTGAATTGGAATTAGATTTTTATTTTTATTTTCCAAGAAGATCCTTAGAGCAAGACCAACTGCCATGAATTATTGCTTGCCTTATTTCTAGCATAGTAATTTTGACGAAGGAGACAAGAACGCATAATTTAGTAATGCATATGATGGAATTATCTCCCTGGGAAATTCAATGCTTCACATTGTCAACATTTATCTTCTCTCCTAAATTCTCCTTACTATTAAATTTTGAATCTTGGTCCATTTAATTAGGTACAAGAAGCTCAATACTTTCCAGGAAAAGATTTTGTCAACTTTCTAACTTGATATTATGTGCTTGTTTTTGTATATTTGGAAAGATCTACGCTCATTGATAAATGAAGGGTTGTGGAGTTGAGTGTGCTTACATTTGAGAGTTAGAGTCTCGAACTTGGATTATGGTGCCAATAAACATTGTTGAGTTTATTTCAAACAATGGAGCTGAATGAGACATCATAAACTACTTGGTACTGATGTTGTGATTACTAATTGCAAGCATTGAGTTGTATGGCTTTAGCGTCACTACATATCCGAAAAAAGAAAACATTGGGTTCTTCATAAGAATTCAGGACATTTAAAAGTTGGTGAACTATGAAAGGCTTGATCTCGCTCAAGGGTAAGTAGGCAGTCTAACAGGGGTTAGATGTAGCCTTAAATAATTGAGATTAATTTTTTGTTGGGAATTTGATTTAAGAAAAGAAATTTGGTGATTAATTTGAAAATTTAATCTTATGTTTTTGGTAAGTAAATTTTGGTTATAGATTTTGTGAGTGATTAAGAAATTTAAATAAAGAATTTTGATTAACGGTAGTTAAATAAACAAGAGTTTAATTTGGCCTATCACCGAAATTATTTTCTAAAATAAAATTTTGAGGCATTACAAATGGGCAAAAAGACGCTAGAGAGTTTTCTAAACACTGTCTTAGCAGTGAATATAACTTGGGTATTATGCGGCACAAGTTTATACTGCCCTCTAATCCTCATTGTCCGAAAATTCATGATTTCATAGCAATCACCGACCTCAATCTTTGAGGCTACCACTTCGTAATCAATGTCTGATGTAGAAGCTTCAACCGCATTGCTCTTATTATGTCCCAAAAAATAAAATAAAAAAAAAAAAAAGGGGAGAGAAGAGCAGAATTAAAAAGGTAATTAGCAAACAAACGATAAAAAAAACATTATTTTTTGATACAGAGAGGTTAAATTGGCACAATAGCTAAATAGATTCACTTAAAATACGTAAAATCTATAAAGCACTTTATACGCACAAAAAAATGAAATAGAAAAAGTAATATAAGAACATAAATAGAAATTAACAAACTAATAGATGAAAAAAAAAAAAAAAACCAATGACTTAACTATTACTGTTAAAATTCCTAATTAAAATTATAGGACAATGACCACTCACTGTTTCATCAACCAAGACACAGTATAGTGTCACGTATATATTTATGAACAATTCCAGGAATGTTTGATTTCCATATTCTACACACACAAAGCTTTATTTTGTCTGCTTTAGTGTAGGCACGCAATTCAGTAATAGGGGTCACCTTCACGGTTTCCATTTAACCTGCTCAAAGAGATTATAAATTTTATAAACTTAAGAATCATGATAAGACAAATTTGAAAACAAATATGGAAAAAAGGACTGATTTGTTTCATTTTTCATTCCTAATTCAGCAACCCATGAAAATTATTTCCAATATGACTGTTACAAAATCAATAACCACATCATAAACGTGTAACTTCAAAAACACGAAGAACTTCGAAAAGAAATAAGTCAACCAAAAACAATCAAAGAACTAAATTTGACAAAGAAATACCTTGAGAATTAGGACAGTAGCATAAACGAACACACATTAATAGATAACATACAATAATTATTATCAAACACACAACACTTTACGAAAGCAGCAAAAGGCTAACTAAAGAAGAAACCAACTATTACAAACACTAAAACATGGCTTACAAAAAGTGCCAAAAAAATGTCAATGACTTGTCCAGGAAGGAAAAAGCAGGGTGAAGCAGATAATCAAGTACTTTCCCACAATGCAAATGCATATACCAAAAAGAAAAACACTCAGTAAGTCAATTTTAATAAGTTAACAAAGAAACAAAAGACTTCTATCTTTTTCGGGTGACATAAGCATAAAGTCTTCTTTTTATTTTCATCCACAAATATAACTTTATAAACTGAAGAGTTGTCATTTATTTGTTTACGCTATGCACCACAGACAAAATTACAAATCTTGAACAAACAAACAATATATGGTGTTAAAAAGCTAAAAACTTGTAATACTCAATCGATAACAATATTATCAAGTTCAAAAGAAAAATGAACTTGCTTTATCAATCATAGGATTTACCACTTAAACATAGTTTGTTACAACAGGAACATGGACAAATTTAAACAAACAAATGCAGGTACTGTAGACATCGAAATTTCGGTGAAACAAATGTTCACCAACGCATTAAAGTTTTGACGTGTCAAGGCATACATGGCATACGCCACGTGTTGTACAAATTGTACACATGGCGTGTGACTCAACAAAATAGGAAGAAATACCCTTGAAGGATTAAACAAGTTTTTCTTCTCATTTTGGGCAATGACAAGGCAAGCACACTTCAATCCATTACGGATCAAAGTAAGTTTTTCTCATTTGGGCAATGACAAAGCATACACATTTCAAGTTTAAAATGGTGTTAAGTGGGAAATTAGGCCATAAGTTACACCACTCCAAATTTGTGAACAAGAAAGTTCCTTGAAACAAGAGACAAGAATACGTGCACAAAGTAATATTTTTGTGGTTTGATGATTTTGGGGTTACGATCTCTCTCAAATTTGGTCCTCTGATTCTATCTCCGTAAGTTGTAGATTTGTTGATCCAAGGGCCGTCGAGGCTTGATCTTGGATGAACAGTTGTAAGTTTCTTCAAGGGCCTTCGTGGCTTTGATCTTGAAGGTTGATGGAAGTTTCTTCAAGGGCCTTCAGGGCTTGATCTTGAATGTTGATGGATGAGCGGATCTTCAAGGGCTTTTGGGCTTGATCTTGAAGAACGGTTGGTTTTCTTCAAGGGCCGTTGAGGCTTGATCTTGAATGAACAGTTGGTTTTCTTCAAGGGGGCTTTTGGGCTTGATCTTGAAGAATAGATGTGTGGATTTGTTTGTTGATCCAAGGGCCGTCGGGGCTTGATCTTGGATGAACGGTTGTATGTGTGGATTTGTTGAGGTTGTTGATCTAAAGGGCCGTTGGGGCTTGATCTTAGGATGAACGGATGAACACTTTCTTCAAGGGCCGTCGGGCTTGATTTTGAAGAATGGGTGTATGGGTTTGTGGATGAGTTGTTGATCCAAAGGGCCGTCGGGGCTTGATCTAAGGATGAACAGTTGATGAATGATGAACACGTTCTTCAAGGGCCGTCGGGGCTTGATTTTGAATAATGGTTGTGTGGATTTCTTCAAGGGCCGTTGGGGCTTGATCTTGAAGGAAGATTTGACGAAGAACGAAGAGTGCTTTCTTGATCCTTCGGAATTCTTGGGAATTTGGATGCTTGAGAGCTTTGGAGTTTCAAAGCTTCAAGGATTTGGGGAATTCTCTCCCAATTTTGGAGTAGAGAAATGTATTTGTGAATTGGTTCATGCTTGATACCTTGATGGAGAAGCCTATTTATAGGCTTTGAGAATGAATCACCACCACAAAAATATTTTTTTTCCTTTCCAAGCACCATTGCCTAATTTTCCTACTTAATGCAATATTGAAATTGAAGTGGTGTAACTTATGGCCTAATTTCCCACTTAATACCATTTTAAACTTGAAGTGGTGTAACTTATGGCCTAATTTCCCACTTAATACCATTTTAAACTTGAAGTGGTGTAACTTATGGCCTAAATTCCCACTTAATACCATTTTAAACTTTAAGTGGTGTAACTTATGGCCTAAATTCCCACTTAATACCATTTTAAACTTTAAGTAGTGTAACTTATGGCCTAAATTCCCACTTAATACCATTTTAAACTTGAAGTGGTGTAATTTATGGCCTAATTTCCCACTTAATACCATTTTAAACTTGAAGTGGTGTAACTTATGGCCTAAATTCCCACTTAATACCATTTTAAACTTGAAATGTGTATGCTTTGTCATTGCCCAAATGAGAAAAACTTACTTTGATCCGTAATGGATTCAAGTGTGCTTGCCTTGTCATTGCCCAAAATGAGAAGAAAAACTTGTTTAATCCTTCAAGGGTATTTCTTCCTATTTTGTTGAGTCACACGCCATGTGTACAATTTGTACAACACGTGGCGTATGCCATGTATGCCTTGACACGTCAAAACTTTAATGCGTTGGTGAACATTTGTTTCACCGAAATTTCGATGTCTACAAATGCCCCCACTTCAAGGCGCGTCGTAGACATGTGCTTGTCACGTGTAGAAGATGCGTTTTGAAGTCCCTTAATGTAGATGTCAACCCAAGGGTCGTCGAGGCTTGATCTTGAATTGGGCTGGAAATTTCTTCAAGGGCCATTGAGGCTTGATCTTGAGTTCGACTGGAAGATTTTCTGGTTTCCTCCAATCGTTGATTTTCCTTTGTGCTACTCTTGAACTGGGCAGCAGGATTCTTTTGGTCTCCCTCGAAGGTCTGAACTTACTCCTTTTATCTGGAGTTCAATTTGATTCAAGGGTGGAGAACACTTCACTTTGAATCGGGCTTGTGATTTCTTCAAGGGCCATCGAGGCTTGATCTTGAATTGGGCTGGAAATTTCTTCAAGGGCCATTGAGGCTTGATCTTGAGTTCGACTGGAAGATTTTCTGGTTTCCTCCAATCGTTGATTTTCCTTTGTGCTACTCTTGAACTGGGCAGCAAGATTCTTTTGGTCTCCCCTGCAGGTCTGAGCTTACTCCTTTTTTTCTGTTTCTTTGTTCAATCTCTCCAATTCGTATTGAAGAGGGTTAGAGGATAGTTCAGCATATGCAGTTGTAGCTTGTCTCCACATGCTTCAATGTATCATTTTCACTTGCTTTACTTGCTCCCCTTTGCAGAAGTGGTATTTCCTTATGCAGGTTTAGCATCTTCTCTTTTAGTATTTGTTCCTGATGCAGGAGTTAAATGCAAACCTTGCATTTGAATGGACCATCACTTGGTGGCAGCGCAAGTTTGAGTGGAGGTTCCGACATATTGCTTTCTCTGTCCTTGTCTTGGCAGGTGAGAACAAGGGCAAAGGAAAAGATAGGGGAAAAGCATGATATGAAATACCTTTGCTTTCGCCCTTGATGATATGAGATACTTTTGCCTTGGTGTCATTTGTTTGCAAGGGCATTCTCGGAGAGGAAGAAAACTGAGCATTTTGAGATGCTTTGCTGGGAGTGTACTCTCGGAGGTGAGGAAGAGTTGGGCATTTTTTTTTTTTTGTTTGCAGGTCTGCCTTGCCATAAAAGATGAAGGTCGACATATATAGGGATTTCCCAATAGCAAGTGGTGGTACTGTTCTTTTACCCTTGTCGACAAACGTTTTGATCCCGCAAATCCGGCTTTTTGAAATAGTGACGACTCTTCGATCTTTGAATACGCCTCTTTGATTTCTGAACGACGCCTCTTCGATTTCTCAACGAGCGTCTCTTTTGACAAAGCTGCACGCGTTTTCTGAAAAGCAGAGAAAGCGCCACCGAACTTTGCGCTTGTCGGCTAAAGATGTGTAGCTGCGATGATGACCTCCACGTGATCTTTTGACAAAGTGGCACCCGTGCTCTGAAAAGCCGAGAAAGCGTCGCCAGCTTACGCTGGAAAATCCAGCTTTTGAGATTTGCAGAGCGATGTCTCTTCACTTTTGAATAAGCGGCCCTTCGATTTCTGAGCAAGTGCCTCTTCCTTTTTATAGAGGTATTGATCACCTCTAACATGCACACTTTGAAGGTTACTCATTCCTGAAAATCATCTCCGGCCTTTTGAGTTTTAACTCCATCCACCCATCTTTTTTTTTTTTTTTTTTTTAATGATGTGACTGTACTTGAAGTTTTGAAGTTTCAAGTTGCCTACGTACCCTTGGTTGAGGAGGGATCAAGTCATGACGTAGTTCAAATGAGTGATGGTTTTGATGATGATTTTGCCGTACACAGTTTATGTTCTTGCGGGCCAGGAGGGTTTGGTGCCGTTTGCAGTTTCAGCTCATGCAGGCAAGGAGCGTTTGGTTGTCACCTTTTAGGCTCGTGCGAACGAGGAGCTTTTGTTGTCACCTTTTAGGCTCGTGCGAACGAGGAGCTTGTGGTGTCGTTTGCAGTTTCAGCTCGTGCAGACAAGGAGCTTTGGTTGTCGCCTTTTAGGCTCGTGCGAACGAGGAGCTTTGGTTGTCGCCTTTTAGGCTCGTGCGAACGAGGAGCTTTGGTTGTGAATTTGTCAAATGATCTTAGAGAAGCATTCCTTGCAATCTTTATAGTAAGGAGTCTTGACTGAGTGATTGAAGAAGTCTTTGGGGAAGAAATCGCGCATCGTGATGGCAACGGACGATCTTTGTGTCATAACTTCATCATCCTCAACACTTTCATGTAGCTTTGAAGGTTGACGATAGCTGCTTTGCCCCCTTTCCGATTGGTGAACTTGTAGAGGAGACCTATGTTTCTTGTGCATTTTCTTTGGAGTGACATAAGTCCATCCTTCAACTTCACTTGACTTGACTGACATGGTTTTGAAGCATGCCCCCAGCGGTTGAGGTGAAGATTTTGAGTTCAAAGAGCAAGAAGTGACGATGGTATAGTTTGACTTCACCACATCATTAAGATCTAGCTCGATGATCCCTTTCTGAGCCAACTTCATGATGAGATCTTTTAGCACAAAGCACTTTTCCGTCGGATGACTAATGAAGCGGTGGAATTTACAGTACCTTGGACTGTCAGTACGGTTCATATCTTCTGGCCGTCTGCACTCAGGTAGGTCGATCACCTTTTTGTCAAGCAAGTCTTTCAACATGGCAACCACGTCAGAGTCGGGGAATGGATAAGTCTTCTCCTCAAGCTCCTTCAAAGTGCGTCTACGTATCTCTTGATCACGAAAAGCTTCGGTTTGAATCGCCTTGCCTCGTGTATGGATTTTGACTGGAGTTGTGTTGACCGTCATTGCTTCCTTGGTGGGTTTCCACGTAGCCTTATCCACCTCTAACCCTCTTCAATACGAATTGGAGAGATTGAACAAAGAAACAGAAAAAAAAGAGTAAGCTCAGACCTTCGGAGGAGACCAAAAGAATCCTGCTGCCCAGTTCAAGAGTAGCACAAAGGAAAATCAACGATTGGAGGAAACCAGAAAATCTTCCAGTCGAACTCAAGATCAAGCCTCAATGGCCCTTGAAGAAATTTCCAGCCCAATTCAAGATCAAGCCTCGACGGCCCTTGGGTTGACATCTACATTAAGGGACTTCAAAACGCATCTTCTACACATGACAAGAACATGTCTACGACGCGCCTTGAAGTGGGGGCATTTGTAGACATCGAAATTTCGGTGAAACAAATGTTCACCAATGCATTAAAGTTTTGACGTGTCAAGGCATACATGGCATACGCCACGTGTTGTACAAATTGTACACATGGCGTGTGACTCAACAAAATAGGAAGAAATACCCTTGAAGGATTAAACAAGTTTTTCTTCTCATTTTGGGCAATGACAAGGCAAGCACACTTGAATCCATTACGGATCAAAGTAAGTTTTTCTCATTTGGGCAATGACAAAGCATACACATTTCAAGTTTAAAATGGTGTTAAGTGGGAAATTAGGCCATATGTTACACCACTTCAAGTTTAAAATAGTATTAAGTGGGAATTTAGGTCATAAGTTACACCACTTCAAGTTTAAAATGGTATTAAGTGGGAATTTAGGCCATAAGTTACACCACTTCAAGTTTAAAATGGCATTAAGTGGGAATTTAGGCCATAAGTTACACCACTTCAAGTTTAAAATGGTATTAAGTGGGAAATTAGGCCATAAGTTACACCACTTCAAGTTTAAAATGGTATTAAGTGGGAAATTAGGCCATAAGTTACACCACTTCAATTTTAATATTGCATTAAGTGGGAAAATTAGGCAATGGTGCTTGGAAAGGAAAAAAAATATTTTTGTGGTGGTGATTCATTCTCAAAGCCTATAAATAGGCTTCTCCATCAAGGTATCAAGCATGAACCAATTCACAAATACATTTCTCTACTCCCAAAATGGAAGAGAATACTCCCCACACACCAAAACCTTGAAGCCTTAAAGTCCTAAAGTTCTCAAGAAAATCCCGAAGAATGGAGAAAGCACTCTTCATTCTTCGTTAAATCCTCCTTCAAAATCAAGCCCCGATAGCCCTTGAAGAACTTCCACCAATTCAAGATCAAGCCCCAACGGCCCCTTGAAGAAAGTGTTCACCATTCATCATCCATTCATCCTAAGATCAAGCCCCCAACGGCCCTTTGGATCAACAACCTCAACAAATCCACACATCCAATCGTTCTTCAAGATTAAGCCCAAAAGCCCTTGAAGATCCGCTCATCCATCAATCTTCAAGATCAAGCCCAAAAGCCCTTGAAGAAAACCAACTGTTCATTCAAGATCAAGCATCGACGACCCTTGAAGAAAACCAACCGTTCTTCAAGATCAAGCCCAAAAGCCCTTGAAGATCCGCTCATCCATCAACCTTCAAGATCAAGCCCCGAAGGCCCTTGAAGAAACTTCCATCAACCTTCAAGATCAAAGCCACGAAGGCCCTTGAAGAAACTTACAACTGTTCATCCAAGATCAAGCCTCGACGGCCTTTGGATCAACAAATCTACATCTTACGGAGATAGAATCAGAGGATCAAATTACAAAGAGATCGTAACCCCAAAATCATTAAACACAAAAATATTACTTTGTACACGTTATTCTTGTTTCTTGTTTCAAGGAACTTTCGTGTTCACATGTACAGTTCGGAGTTACATATGATAAAAATTAGCATAAATTAAAAACTAAACACCTCAGACGATGATACGAGCAACCTTGGGAGTTAATTTAGTATGAAACGTACAGTTTGCAAACGTTAGTAAAGCTAATTCCTCAGCTGATGTTTAAAGTGGGAAGCGCTTGAAAAATAAAACAAAAATTTGATCATCATTAAATGGAAAGAAAAACCAATAGAAGGACACAATTTCACAACCAAAACGCTTGATCCATGCTAATTATAAATAGGTGCACATACGCTTTTCTTTCGTTTTGATACAAATATGTCTCCAGCTATTTTTACAATCTCTATAATAATTTATAAAATATCAATTTACAAATATTATGTCTCTTGAAAAACATACTAACACCAATCTCTCTCTCTCTTTCTTTCTTTTTTTTTTTTTTTTTTTTTTTTTTTGTGTATGTGTGTGTGTGTGTGTACAAATTAGGTCATCATTCCATTGAAATACACCATTTCTTCTGTGTTTCCTTTCTTTCATTTTGCCACCACTGATGGCAATCATTACTTACTCAGCCAATAACCCACAATAACACCATATGTCAAACACTTGACATCTTTTAAAATCATTTTCTTACAAACAAATACAACCATAAGCTTACCATTACCACGCTTATTACCAATAAAAGACATCTTATATTAAAACACCAAACAAAAACTAAACACAACACTACACATGACTTTCACAACACAGAAACATAGAAAATTTCCTTCAGCATAAGGCTTAAACAGAAAAGACAAAAAGACTTACCTTCAACACACATGGGTTCCAAGCCTGCACATAAAAGCAGCAAAAAAACGAAGTTCAGACTTTGACGAAACTTAAAACAAAAGGAAACTTGTAAGTTCATTCTTAAAATGATCATCCAGCTAAGTTATATAAATTTTGAACATCAAATTACTCAAACAAATATGAATTAAATCTCGCTGTCATCAAACCTATCACCTAAAACGAACACCGTGCTCAGAAAAAAAGATACTTAAATGAAGAACACTTTTAAGGATTCAAATAAACAACACTGCATCTCAAACATTTGACACTTATAAAACCTGCATGACCTTTAAAAAATCTAACCACTTCGTTTAAAATCAATTCTCTACAAAGTGCATTATAAAAACTTGGATTCCATAATCTACATTCCTGCTTTCCCCCTCAGAAGTCAGAGCAAGAAAGAAGCCATGTTTGAGTCAGTTCCAACTGTTAAATATTAGTACTTTCTCACAAAATCTTTATCTAAAATGAATATATAAATTTTCTTTTTAAAAAATGCTAAGCACAATAGTTAACAAAGAGGTAAATCTATCTTTTTTTACATGAAGAAAATAATACTACATTGTGATATTGATTAGCGATGATAGCTGAAGTAATATTGTCATACATTTTTTGTGTCGCTTTTTTATTTGAATAATAAATGTTAACATAAAAAATATAAAAAATTAAATACCCTTATGATCAATCTACTTGGATCTTTATCATGCTAGATGTTTCATCTACATGGAAAACATCTGAAAACTCGAGGTATCAAAGCTAACATTTTTAATCTAAAAGCCTAGAAATCATAAGAAAACAAATGTTGAGACGACAGTAATCTCAGTCAGCAATTTCTAACAAAAATTTGACCATAAAACTGTAAAACCATCTCTCAATCAGTACTTTTCATCTTATAAAGCAACTAAACTGTTACCAAGGCTTCAAATCCTTAGGAGAAATCATTTTTCTCCCAAAAAAAAATAAAAGGAAGAAAAGGTAAAGAAAAATACGAATACATGCATACCTCAATTATGAAAATAAAGAGGAAACCATTTTTCACCAAGCTCTTCCTGTCAAAAGGAACAACAAACTGCGAAAAACAAATCATGGATTCCCAATATAAAACTTCGTTCTTCATGTATAAATTCAAGGTGTGTGTGCAAAGCTACTCACTTTAGATTCAATTGGGGCTTCATAAAAAAATTATGATTAATCATTTATCTTATGGTGTTGAATCAGGACTCAGAACACACAAAAATAAAAAAATCCACCTCTGGAAAACCCCCAAAGAGAGAACGAAAAAACACTCACCTTTAACACACACAAAGCTTCCAAACCTGCACACAAAAGCACCAAACAACCCAAGATCAGCTTCCAACGAAACCAAGAACAAAAGCATAGAAAAAATTCACACGGAACAAAATTGAAAACCCATACCCAAAAACTTAAGACAACAATAAAACCCCCAAATTTTCAAAACACATACCTAAACAGGAAACCCATTCGCATAATTGAAAACCACAGAAAACAAAACCAAAGACCTGTAATGAGAAAGGCAGACAACTCACTAGGAGAATTTAGCTCTTGCAAGTTAAAAATCTGTCGACCCAATGCACCAACCCAAATAACCCATACTGGTTGATGAATTTTCCCCCCCAACAAAGTCACCGCACACCTGCAGACCCAAAAAGGAGCAAATGGTAGCAAAATAAAACATATCAAGGGTTCAAAAATGAAAGAAAACGATACGCGAGAGCAGGAGAACCTGAGAAGAACAACAAAAAAACATGAAAAGGGAAGGAAAAGAAAAAAGCAAAATAACCCATACTATTTATGGAATAGAACAATATAAACACTATTTCTAAAACTTTGTGGTATATTCTCCATATAAACGTGACAAATGCGTTATTTTCTATTACAAGCATGTATTTGTCATGTCTCACTAATTCATAAAAAATAAGGCAAATTAACGAAAAGTTCAAAAAAACTTCACTTCTCATAAAATGTCATTTTTAAAAGTATAATAAATAGTACTAAAAAAAAAATATAAATTTGATTTTTCGTTAAAAGTAAACAATACCAAAAATGTTTTGTTAAACCGTCCAGTTAAAAATATAGAGCGAGAGTGCCACACCAACAAACAACAAGCATTGCTATAACCTTCTCTCTCTAGGTGCGTCTGGGTTCCATGCATTCTCTCATCACCCCTCTTCCTCCTAATCTGCAAAAATCTGTCACAAATCTCCTTTTCATTTCTTGGAATTTGTTACACAAATTTGCAAAGAACTCTATCATCACCTTTCCCCTCATTTTATCTTCGAAAAATGTTACACACTGTCGCCATCAATAAAATGATTCAATTCAATCTATCATCAATATCATGCGTGCTTGATTTACTCTAGAAAATGGATGCATGGTTTAAATTCCGTACTAATTGAAGGAATTCTTGAGATATTTATGCATATTTTTCAAGATGGATATAAGACTAATTTCCTAGTTCGAGCCGGGCACTGGTTAAGCAAGAATCTAAATTCTTGTTCTGTAATATTGTCGATTTCAATTTGTTTTCATGGCCTCTGAGACTTAAATTTTCATTAAATTTGATACTTCTCATTTCAAAATCACCATTTGCTTCTTTGAGATCCATATAGCCTTTGTATTTGGGTTCGATTCTGGAAGAAGGTGGCTAACTGATTGTTATGGCGGAGGGAGAAGAAGGAGATGAATAAGTAGAGAGAGAAACGGAAAAGAGAGGATGAAGATGGTGGGTAAATGCTTCTTGGTTTGATTGAGGGGAATAGCAGGAAATAAAAGTAAATAAATAGAGCCTATTGGGGTCGGCTAGCAATTATCTCATAATATTTGTGAATTGGCTAACGGGCTTCGGTTAGGATCTGTTATGGGTAATTATGAAAAAAGATTTTATTGCGGATTGGGCTTTAATTCGGCTCATGCTTTTAATGTTTATAGGGCTGGTACATAAATAGAAGGCCTAATCGGATAAATGATTTCCGTGATGATAAGGTAATCGGAAAGTAATCCTCGTAGTAAAAAAATTAGGATTTAAACCCTTGTGGTGTAGATGTAGTCCGTTACCAAATTTAGTCCAAAAATGATTTTACACTAAATGTTCGTTAAATACAAAGGTAAAAACGTATTTTGATGCGTGACTCAAATTCCCTAAACTTTTCCTTGTTCCATTCCCCGACTTTGCTATCATCGAAGTTAGCTTGGTTTGCCTACACCCTCATTCACATTATCGAAGCTAGCTTCCTCATCTCCCTTGAGTGTGTGGAAAGACGAAGATGAGGGAGCTAACTCCAATATCCTTGAGGTCCTCCAATGTTAACATGGGCAATACCTCATCATCCACCTCATGAATTTCGAACACCGGCGCATACCGCCCTAACCCTAACCCATTGAGCCAAAACCTAACCCCATCTTCCCCACACCTTCCTCTTCCTTCATTCCCAATTCTATCCCCACTTGTCCCTCTACAATTCCAATCCCTGGCATCGTTATCCGACGGCCCAGATAGCTCAATACCATCATGGTTATCCCTACCCTCCGAAATCCTGGTCCTAATGGGTCTTCTACTTCCATGGTAAAGCAGCTCCCTTCCATTGGCATACCCATCCACACCTAAATTCTTCGAACTATGAATTGCCCATCCACACATCGGATAAACAGTCTCCGTGGTGATAAGTAATCAAAAAGTAGAGAGACGAGGAAGGAGACAAGGAAGAAGAAGGCATACGTCAATGTATATTTTACCCTTGCATATAACAAACATTTAACGGAAAAATCATTTTGAACTAAATTTGCTAACGGACTACACCACGAGGGTTTAAATCCTAATTTTTTTTACCACGGGAGCTACTTTCCGATTACCTTATCACCACGGGAACCATTTATCCAATTAGGCCTAAATAGAAGGTTAAATCTCAACTCTTTTTGGTTAAATAAAAGTTTATGGTTGTTTTTGGTTAAAAAAAAGTTGGCTCAATCTCTTTTTCATTAAAGCTTCTTTTGTTGTAAGGCAAGCCCTTGACGGCATTGAGCTCAACAACACTGTAATTCCGAAAGGAACAAACACTGTAATTCCGAAAGGAACAAACATTCAGATTCCAGTCCCAGTACTGCAGCAACAGCCTGAAATCTGGGGCTCTGATGCCCTTGAATTCAATCCGAAAAGATTTGAACATGGAATTCTTGGGGCTTGCAAGTGTCCCCAGGTTTACATGCCATTTGGATTTGGTCCTAGGATTTGTTTTGGGCAACACTAGTTGCGTGTCAGCAGTGTTTCTGCAGCAGTGTTTCTGCAGCAGTGTAGTTGCAATCATATGTATGGGTAGGGCACATAGATTTGAAACACCTGTGTTTCAATTCTTTTTAGAGCTGATTTTCACACACCATTTTTAGTTTTTTACTCACCCTTTTTTAATTTCTTTCATTATCAAACAAAAGCAACTGACATGGTACAGAAAGGGTGTGCCTGACAAACTAGTAAGCTTGTATGAATCAACCATAAATATGAACTTTATCCAACTAATAAGTTAATATTTCTGAAGCCCAATTATACCAATAGGTTGTTAGTGAAAGAAGGGTGGTGATCATACTTTATCAGTTTATTTATCCTTTCCAAACCTTACCAAAAAATTAGATGCTAAACTGCAAGGAAAGGTTAGAAGTAGATCCAGCAGTTTCTTACACGACACGATGACACGACACGAAAATAATGGGTTTCGGATTAATACAATAATTAATCGGGTCATCATTAGGTGACCCGTTAAGAACCCTTAATAATGGGTACTTAACGGGTATACACGCGGGTAACACGTGGGTAACCCGTTTTGACCCGTTAAGAAAAATAAATTCTAATTTGAAAGTTTAATTACTAAAAAATTTATTATAAAATACAATAGCCATATTGTATATATTGGTATATTCTATATTAAATATATATTTTTGTATTATTATTCTATTAAGTTAAAAAAACTAAGTTTTATTTATTTATTTATTTTTATTATGAGAGTTTCTTATTATCATTAATAGGATAAATTTTACTTAACCTGTTGTTGTCTAAAATTAAAATCAACTAGTATGGTATTAGTATAGGAAATAAGACATCCCTACAAGTATGAAAAATGTGAAAGAATATATAAACACTCGTGATTCATCATTCCTCCACGAGTAAACAATGGTTACACTTACATTATCATTTGGATTTTTAAAACCCTCTAAACCGTCATGAATAGTGTTTTTTATTTGAGTGTAAAAGTAATAAAATTAATAATAATTCTTGTAGAAGTGTAAGAAATGTAAAAAAAATAAAAAAATACAATCACTTGTAGTGACAAGCTTTACAACTTTCGTGAATGGGTCAACTTCGAAATCTGACACTATAATCCATAAACCTTAAATTTGTATTTAACCGTCAATTGTCGTTTAGGCTTTATTCTTTATATTGAATTTCATTTTAAAAATTTTCTTTTTTGAAAACTTGATCTTCTGGGGGATATAGGAAGATGAATGGTTTGGATCTTTGATACCATGTCTCGATATTTATGGTTAATTGAAATATGAGTCGATGTTATATAGTTTGTAGAGACTTTGTATACACCAAGCAATATTTTCACTAACGGTAAAACTCTGAACTAAATATCAACGATCCAAATCATTTATCTTCTTGTATCCTCTAATATATCATGTTTTCAAAAAATAAAATCTGAAAAAATAAAATTTGATGAGAAAAATGAAGCATAAATGTAAATAACAATCAACAGTTAAATTTTAATCTATGATTTATATGATTATAGTGGCACATTTCAAAGTTAAGCCTTTTACGAAAGTTGTAAAGCTTGTCATTACGAGCATTTATATATTTTTTTCTATATTTTTCACACTTCTACATTAATTAAAAAAAACGATTAAAGACTTTACTTAAACAATAACCATAGGATAATTGAGAAGAGAGTGCTAATGTAGAAAGCCTCACTGAAAATATCATCAATATAACTCTTGAAGATAATATATCAAGCCAAAGTTCCAATACTGTTTCCCATGGTGATTGATGAAAATTGAAGAGTTTGATTGTAAGAAAATGTGCAAGGTTCCAAACCTTGAAACATAACTCCCTTAATTTTGCAAATATTTTGAACATTTGATATTTTGTAATGTTCTATTGTTTTTTTTATTATTTATTATGCTTTTATTTTGGGTATGTAAATATGTAATACTTGAAAGACAAATGCGTTTTCATGTTTTGAATGTGATAATATGGTATGTATATACATATTTAGTATTATGTTTTTTATTTGATTATTTATTGGTTTAAAATATATTTTCCTTAACGAGTAACGAGTCGGGTCATATTATCTGTTAATATTATCGGATTGATTTCGGGTCGGGTTATTTTACCCGTTTATTTTAACGGATGTTACACGACACGACCCGTTAAGATATCGGATATGATACGAAAATGATACGAACACAGAAAATACGACACAAATACCAGGTCTAGTTAGAAGAGGCCAAAAACAAAAAGATGCTATATGTCGATTTAATCTAGCTAAAATATTAATATTTCTAAACTCATCAATATTACAATAGAACTTCAGACTCCATACTGCGGATGTTGCCACTTTATTATTCTTCATTTGTCTCTTCGCTACTTAATAAAAAAAAAAAAAAAAAGAGTTGTTTTTAGTTTGCCAAAAAATTTAAAAAGAGTTGTTTGAGTTTCGAAGAGTCCGAATAGAGATACCGAGCAGAAAAGAAAGAAAGAAAGAAAGAGGACGCAACAATGGCAGCATGGTACTATCGACGTTGTTGGGTGGATTTGTGATATTGTTTTTGTTTCTCTATGAGTCTTTTGCAACACCTGTGTTTCAATGTGTACATTGAAAGAAAAATGTAATCTAGATGTGTCTCTTTTTGGATGTAATTTGCAATGTGTAATTGTGTATGTTTTAAATTTTTCTTAGAGCTGATTTCCACCATAATTTTTTGTTTTTTACACATCCTTTTTAATCTCTGTTATTGGATTAAATAAATCAAATAAAAACAACTGGCATGATCTAAAAATGGTTAGCGTGACAAGCTAATAAGCTTAAATGAAGTCAACTTTATATATGAACTTTATCCAACTAATAAGTTAATATTTCTGAAGTCCAATTATACAAACAAGTTGTTAGTGAAAGGAGGGTGGTGATCCTACTTTATCAGTTTATTTGTCCTTTCCAAACCTTACCAAAATAATTAGATGCTAAACTGTAAGGAACAATTAGAAGAGGCCAAAAGCAGAAAGATGCTAATACTATTCATCTAGTTTTATTATGGTAATTGTAATTGGTTCTCTAAAATTCTCATTTTCCACTAACATTTCAACCAATAAAATTTTTGTTTCAACATTTTTTTATAATAATGACAACCATTTAAAGATCTATTTTAATAAGAAATAACATTTGACAATTCGGTTAGAAAAACATAAAATTTGACATAAGACTTCAGTTGCCACGTCATCCATTAATTTTAATTTGATTATTATAATTTGACGTTTCCTTTAAGATGGTCTCAAGTTTCAGCTATTTGGCACCTCTCTCTCTCTCTCTCTGTTTCTCTCTCATTTTAGAAAATATCATCATTTATTATTTAAATATAATAGTGAAAATTGTGTTTTTTTTTTTTTTTTTTTTTTTTTGAGAAAGTTCAAGATTCATTGATTCGTAAAATCGAAACACTTACATATCAAAGGATAGGATGCCCAACAGTGGGCCTTGATAAACACTTAGCTGGGGATTTCAATCCGATCTGAGGGAAAAAGAGCGTCCTGTACCAAATTCAAAGTTGCAATAACCAAACTTGCATCACCTTCAAACTCAACCATACTGGCTTCCCATTTTTGAGTAAACAGCACCGTCGCCCATGCTGCTTCCATCTCTGCGTGCAGGGGTGAGGTCACTCCAAGAATTTGCATAGCCATTGCCGCCACAAACTCACCCAAATGGTCACGAACAATAACTTCCACCCCGCTGATTCCTTCATTCTCCACCCAGGGCCCATTGAAATTACATTTAAGCCAATGATTCACCGGTTTCTTCCACTTCTGCCCCTCACGAGAGCTTATGAATTTCTTCCCATGCCATTTCTTGAACTCATGTAGCCAAGCTGTTGTCCTATATTGAATTTCCATGGTGGCATGACCTTCCCAGTCCATACGAATGCATTTCTTTCCTTCCAGATACTCTAGACAGTCATTAGCAATAAGTCAAAACTTTCTCGTGCCAAAGAAGATGCCTTGTTTGCCAACCAATCATTCCAACCATCTTGTCGTCGATCTCTCCCCTTGAGTCCCAACGGACTCGCAAACCACACTGCAGCAGCCATGAGACAGTATCTCATGATGTGTTCAATGGTTTCTTCCTCTTCATTACAAAATAAACATGTTGGCATGATACACCTCTTGAAAAGATTAACTCTTGTAGATAGAGCATTCGAACAACTTCGCCAAACACAAATCTTAACTTTACCCGGCACGCAAGCCCTCCAAAGAAACTTTGTCTCTAGTACCATTGATGTCATGCCTCGATCCCAACATACATCTGGATCGACACGTGATGTCACCAATACTCGTATATCTAACATACCCCGCCTTCGGGATATGGACAAAGCACAACTCAAGATTCGAATTATGTAGTAATTTTCGCATACTTTATGACTGCATCTAACCTCCTCGTTAGATTGCCTTCGTACCCTCAGACGGGATCAAGCCATTCGTAGTTCACCATTTGTTAAACTCTGAACTTCTCGTAAAACACTTTCTAGCAGAAAACATAGAGTTCCACACTACAGTCATCTTGCCATTCACACACACACACACACACACACACATGCTTTCCAACACCATTCCATAATCACATTAATTAATAACTCATACAATACACCAAAATGCAGGGTTAGAGCAACACAGTTCAACCGAAGCCTACATCTCTGAAGCTTTCTCAATTTAGACTGAATCCAACGAATCAATGAAGTCAAGGAATATGATTTCAGACCACTCAATGAAATCCAACAACATTGGGTTCCGGACCACTCAATGAAACCAAAATTATTCTATCCAATAAAGCATGGGTGTGCAAAGCTGTGGAAAGACAGCAGAGCATGGGTGTGTGCAAAGCTGTCTTTCATGTGTTTGAAAAGCAGAGCTGGGGAATCCCATCCGAACCCCATATATTATTCTATCCACAACAAAAAACAGGAGCTCCTTCTTGGGGGATGCCCATGAGCCTCTTGGACCAGATACAAAGACTTGCCTTGTATACATTTTGAGGAGGACGGAAGACTCACGGGAGAAGGCTGTTCTTGGAGAAGTTCTACATTAGGATTGCTTCAAGGGTTTTCCTCTCTTGAATCTCCACTCATGTTGTGTATTTTTGTTTTAATTTATGTGAACACGATTTGTAACTAAGTTCATTTATGGAGATTTCGATGTAGCTTTGCAAAACTACTCTATGTTATTAAGTTAAAGTATTCAATTACCAATCTGTGTTCGTATTTCATTCACCGGTTTTATAGTCTAATTTGTTTGATAATCTTAATGTTTGATCACCATTAGGGCTACTTATGAACTATTTGATCGAGGTTTTAGTAAACATTATGCTCAATCTTGGTAGACATGTGAATGAATGAAGAGACTGCTATGCATACATATTGCCATGTGATTTCTTTGGTTCTTTGAAGTTTTCTTGTTCTTAATGGATTCTTATTTAGTAATCTAAGTTGAATATCACAACTAGGTTGCAGATTAAGAGTGCTTGATCACAACCACACATCAAATGGATGATCATAAATGTGTAAAACGAACCCTAGTTGCAGATTGGAGAGTTGAATGCGTTTTGACTTAATTTTCATGGAATTGGCTTGTAATGGTGAAATTGATATCCCTAGTTCTATTCCCATCGTTTCCGAATCATTCTATTGTTCATATTTACATTCTCTTGCATTTTAAGTTACTTTACTTTTCAAATCAAAATCCGAACTCAGCTTGTTAGTTTCATTGTTTAGTTAGGATTCACATAAAGCTCGTAATTCATAGAGGTCTAATCAGTCCCTGTGGTTTCAAAGAGGATTTCATGGAAGATTTCACAGAAGATTAATATTAAAGTGGATAATGATAGGATTATGCACCAGAGCGGTTTTGAGGCGTGGTGGTATTGCGATGGTTGGTGACCAAAGTGGGGAACTAGGTGTTGGTATGGCGTGGTTTTTGAGGGTTTTGGTACGTTTGAGATGGGGTTTTGGGGGGTGGTGATATTGGGCTGAGGGTTTGGGGGTGTATTTGGCAGTTTGGCTGGGGTGTAAAGAGATGATGAGAACAAATTCACGTCAGCGAGAATGACACCCATCCTCCATTGTTGTAACTAACTATGGTCTTAATAATAATTGCTTTTCAAAATTATATGTCTTTTTTAAATCTAACAAAAAAATATGTAGGGTTGTTTAGGGAAGATTGGTGGGTGAGGAAGAGGTTATGTGTTTTTTAACTTTTTATGGAGGGTGGGAATATAAGGTGGGGGTATAACACCATTCTATAAGAAACTATCAGATGCATGTTTCCCGGTATTTCTTTCTGGTCAATGAACACTAAAAAAATAAAAACAGAGAAATTATTCAAGGATGTGGAGTACAAACATTCCCTATGCTTTTCTATAAGGACATCTTCAAGCTCTCTCTTTCTCGCAAACTTCTTCCTCCTAATTAATTTTCTACCTTAGCACTCTAGAGCACCAAACTATGGTGATTTTTCTTTCAAAGTTTCGGAGAATAGTAACCACCTATAGAAGAAGTCTCCATCCCATTAGACATGGAATATTATTCAGTTGTAATATCCATTCACTGGTAGAAATCACCTCAAGAAAGATCATCAAACCATCATCTCCAACTCCTCATCACAACAGATTTCTCAAGCTCTCTCTTCTGGACCAACTTATTCCTTCTACTTTAACTGCAACTATCATATGGTTATACAAAAACCCCAACGGTTCTAATTTTGCTGCCGAAACTTCAGAGACAAAATCTGAACGGTTGCAAGAGTCTTTATCAAAAGCTTTAGTTCACTTCTATCCACTGGCTGGCCGGCTCAAAAGCCCTGCATTGGTGGAGTGCAACGATGAAGGGGCTCATTTTCTTGAAGCCCGGGTTAACTGCCAGCTTTCAGACTTTCTCAAACAACCTGATATCAAATTACTCACCAACTTTATCCCCGATAATGATCCTAAAATCGCCCAAGAAGCCTTGGGATCTGTACTTTTGTTTATTCAAATCAGCGTTTTCAACTGTGGAGGAATTGTTGTTGCTGCATCACCTTCACACAAGCTTGCAGATGGAACATCACTCCACACATTCATGCGAACATGGGCAGCGATAAATTGCGAAGATAGAGTGCTCGGAGCTCAATTGGTGCCACCGGAGTTTACTGGAGGGTCTTTGTTGCCTCCTAGAGAGTTGTCCTTGCCATCCATCAACGCCAGCATGGAAATCCAAAGTTTAACTACAAGAAGGCTTGTATTCGATATTTCGAAGATAGCCAGCCTCAAGTCTAATAATGGGGGTGTAGTCCAGACCTTCATCCCATCAAACATAAATCTAGTTTTGGCTATCATATTGAAATGTTCTATTGCAGCTTCCCGTCATTTCAAGCCTGAGAGTTGGATGAGACCAATGGTGCTGACCCAGATGATAAGCTTGCGAAGAAGTATTGTCCCGGAGATACTGGAAAATGTCATGGGGAATTGGTTTTGGTCACATCCATTGTTATTCAAAGAAAATGAGACCGAACTACCCGAGTTAGTGAGCAAAATCATGCAAGGATTGACAGACTTTCGGGCCAAGAAGGCCAACAGATTTAAAGGCGAGGAGGGATTCTTGGTGGTATCTGAGTCTCAGAGAGAAAGGGCGGATCTTTATAAGAGAAATAAGGGCTTATATGGATTTTGGGCCACGAGTCTGTGCAAGCTTCCTCTGTATGAAATCGATTTTGGTTGGGGGAAACCTGCGTGGGTCACCAGCCCAGGTGTCAGAAAGAACCTAATTCTGTTGGCTGACACAAAACAGCACGATGGTATCGAAGCGTGGGTGACCTTGGATGAACAAGAAATGGCCATATTTGAATCTAATCCGGAGCTTCTTGCATTTGGTTCCGTGAACCCCAGCATTTCCCTTGGTTAAACACTGATAGATACATGGATTCTGACTCCAGTATGTTGATTGATATCTTCCAAGTTTTCAATAAAGCTATCCCCTTTGTTATTTAAAAAAAAAAAGAAAAAAAAAGAAAAAAAAAAAAGGATTCAAATGCAAATCCAAATGCAAATCAATTTAAAAACAGTGATGTGGAGTATTGTGGTTTCCTGTTGGTTCATTTTTAATATTAAATAAATTAAATTGATTATAATTGTCATTATTTGGTTGTTAGTAGGAAAGTAAGTTTTTTTGTCTTTATTCTGGTTGGTGGAAAATAGAAATGGAGTCTTTAGCCTTTCATCTTTTGTTACTCTTGGAATATTTTTTTTTTTGTTAAGTTGTGTATATTACCCTATTCATCAAGGGTAATAATAAACATATAAGTATCAGCATTTTTCCCATTATCTTTTTATTTATTATCCCACTATCAAATTCTAACAACTACAATCTTTTTACCTCCATACTTTCTATCTTTTACTTATATTGCCAAAGAAGGGTGTTCTTTGGTGGAGCTTTGGACTCTTCTATTTTTTGTGCAAAAAGGTTTGAGTCAAACACAATTTAGTTGGGCTGCTATATTCTAGAGGGGACAAGTCAAAAGGTATACTGCTGCACCGGTTTGTGAACTTTTGCAAAACCACAATGGGCTTGAATATCTTTAAAGAGAGCGAGATACCCCACACCTCAGCCTATTTGTTTACGTGCTTCTTAGAATTTTCTTGTAATTTCCCAACATTTCCTTTTGATAATCAGGTAAAAGTGTTGTTCATATAGTTGATCCATTTAGAATAGTCGTTGGAAAACAATTTGAAATGTTGTAAGAACTAAGTAAGAGTGTACAACTTGCTATATTTTCATTAAGGATTGTGAAAATCACCTTCAACGTTTGATGGAAAAGCTCCTCTTTTCTTCTTTACCGTGTGTTTAATTAATTCATGATCTTAGTGTAAAATACGACTTTTTTGGAATATTTATACGACCTTACTGAAATATGAAAACATATATTGTCCACAATATAAATGAAAGTATGATCAATTTCAACACGCCTATTTATTATGATCCATTGTTATAAAACCATCATCTGCAACTATCTTATGGTTATACAAAAACCCCCCACGGTTTTAATTTTGCTTCCGAAACTTCAGAGACTACAACGTTTGTGTTAGTGTTTTTAGGTTTTAAATCATAAAACAGGAAATTTATTTTTTAAGAAATGAAGTATGAGGGAACTGAGAATTGGAGGAGTTCGTTGCTCATTGGATTCTATTGCATAATCATTCACACGAGTGAGTTATTTTGCAAAGGACAAAAGTGACCGTTGTGACTCCACACGAGCCAACGGGAAAAAAAAGTACCCCACGTGAGCTAAACATGACTCACTTAAACAATTTAACTAAAATGACAGGTGGCAAAATAAAAGGCAATGGGATGTTCTAATCTTAGCCATACATTGAACTAAGAACAATACATTCCTTGAGAACAAATTCAAATAAAACCAGAAGAAACCTTCAACTCCAAGCAATGTGATATGCGGACAAGTTTATTCTTCAACACTCCCTTCTAAGGTTGTTGCAGATTTGACTCCAAGCATGCTCTTGAGCATATAAGAACTGTTATTTGGAAAAACTTTTGTAAAGATATCAGCCAATTATTCCTCGGACTTGTAGAAAACAAGATTGAATATGCTGTTTTGCAAGGTATCCCGGATGTAATGGTATTCTGTGATATTGATCTTTGATGGAAGACATGATTCTTTGTCATTGCAATGGTAGATGTGTTGTCATAGTACAAGGCAGTTGCATCAGTTTTTTCTTCTCTAACATCCTCAAGAACAAACCTTAGCCAAACTGCCTAAGTTGTAGCTTCTGAAGCACTAACATACTCAGCTTCAGCAATTGACAATGCAACATTGTGTTGCTTCACAAATGCATAAGAGAAATTCCATTGCCAAACGTTATATCAGGCCTTGTTGCAGTAAGATCTAACAAACTCCTAACAATTTGCCTATATATTGCTTTAACTACAAGTTCACTCGCATCATCATTCTTTAGCTTCTCATTCGCTGCTAAGGAATACTCACATGTTTGCAATCTTTCAAACCAAACTTTTCAAGAAGAGCCAATGCATATTTCTTTTGATTTATGAAGATTTCCATGCTTAAATTGAATGATTATCAATCCTAGGAAGTGATATACCAATCCAAGGTCTGTCATCTCATACATTTTCATCATGTTAGCATTGAATTCATCGAACAGTTCATACTACTTCCAGTATACACAACGCCATCAACCTAGATGGAGACAATGAGTTATTATCTCCTTGTTTGAATTTGATGTACAAAGTGGCATCATTAGGACTTATTTGAAAGCCACATTTAAGCAAGTACGGGTTGATCTCTTCATACCAAGCTCTAGGTGACCTTGCACAATTTATGTTCAGAACTTGGAACAATGAATCCTTCAGGATGATCCACATAATTTCTTCATTTAGCTCACCTTTTAAGAAGGCTGACTTAACATTAAGTTGATATAATTTCCAATATAAGCTGCAAGTGCAATGAGGGTCCTTATAGTGTCTAGTCTAGTAAAAGGAGAAAAAGTCGCATCGTAATCCACTTTGGCTTTTGAGACTAACTGCATATCGCACAGTCGCACACGATACTACATTGAGGGAAAATATTTTGATGGAGATTCACCACCGTTGTTGTTCATGTATGGAGGAGATGGAGAAGCTTGGAGACGAAGAATTTACAAGGAAACCTCATTATCTCAAAAGGACTGGACACCAGTACATGTTTTGCACAAGGTGTCTAGCGATAAGAGAATGGGTGATGTGGTATCTCAACGAGATTTCAAACACTTAAACCACATGATGAACATATGGGCGAGTGTTTGAATGAAGAACCACCGCCATCACCGTCAACAAACATCAGATGAGGAATAAAGTGGCAAAGGAGGAGCCCTTCATCGGGTCCCCACGCCTCGTGCAGATCCAACCTTTCCGTATAGACCACATGGAAGCCTTATGAGGGGATGGATGTTATAGGACAAGTTGCAAGAACTCAGAAAAGGATTAAAAGTTAGGCGAATAAGGCATATGCATCATGGCGGAAAATGGGAAGGGTTTGAAGGAAACCGTTGCTTGATGAGGCTATATAAAGGAAAACACCAAGAGATATCACTGTTGAAATTGAAGAGATACGTATCTCGGGGTCGATATACACGAAGATTGATGATAATTAATAAAATGTGTGGAAAACGTTACCACATAAAACGAAGGCGTTCGTCATCATGACAGTGGATCTTTTTTCATAATTCCAAAGATTATGCGATGGTAATCAAAGTGACTCAACTACCCAGCTTTAAATGATGATCCAGACTTGATTGTAGGAATTAGAACAACAAATGGTACGTATTCCAACTTACTTCGAAATGCATGGTCTTAAGTAATAATCCATCCTCAAATGGAACAAGTTGCCTCTCAGATGGATAGTTAGGGGTAATTGTGGGACCATGATTTTCCAGGGACGGAGTGAGGCTGATCTGAATACTGCTAGCTCAAAAGTCCAGTCATGGACTCACTAGCTCCGAGCGAAATTGTATCAGACGAAGCAGGATGCCATCATCATTATGCTCCAGGGCACTAGGGGGAGCCCAAACGACTCCGCTGGATGACTATGCTTGTTCCGCATGACACACAATTTGATCCTGATATGGACTCAATCAAATCCTATAAGTCTTGGAGATTTTACAATCTAGGAATAGGCATGTGCCACAAGTAATCACACTCTTAAGAGGATGCATTATCTACTTACTAGATGTTCTCTCAGATTCTCTCGGCTTAGAATAAGGATTTTATCCTAAAAAGGTCATTCTCCCATACTATAAATACACTTATCTAGAGTTCATCTACGGTAACGTAATCTATACAATTGAGTTCTCTTACCCACTGTTGAGTCTCAAATCATGCACTAACTTGACCATTCGAGAGCCTTTGGTTGGTACACACACCCTCAGCCAAGTTTTGGCTTACGGTTGTTTAATATTTTGCAGATTGTTCCAAACTACAATGATTTATGCTCAACCATCGCTTACGAAGATGTGCAGATTTAGTGCCAACACAATAGAGTCCTAGCGACTCCGTCAGATATAGCTCCACTCAAAGCTGGTAAGTCCATGATTGGACTGTTGAGGTAACTATATTCGGATCAGACTTACTCCATTCCTAGAAAATCATGGTTCCATAATTTTCCCTAGTGATCCGTCTGAGAGGCAACTCATTCCCTTTGAGGATGGATTGTTATCCAAAGATCATGTCATTCGGAGTAAGCTGGAATACATATCGTTTGGTCTTCAAATTCTTGAAATTTGGTCTGGCCTATTAAAGGGAGGTAGTTGATTCGTTCACGATTCCCATCCTTTATTAGCCGTCATGATGATGCATGCCTTCGTTTTGTGTGCACATCTCTAAAAAAGGAAACTATATATCTCATTAATTGGCTTTGATCTCTGTTCATGATGATCTAGTGACGACCTTTTGTCTTCTACAGTGAGATCTTTTCTTGATCTAACTTTAAATAGCCTCCCCAAATCACAATTCTCTTCACCTTATGTCATTTGTGCCATAATGTTTGTTTTTCTTTTCTTCAACCTTAGTTTTCCCTTTAGTTCTTTGCCGAAGAAAATTTTAATCCCAGAAAATCATATTGCCTACTGCGTGTCCCTATACATTCTCAAAGATACCTCTTTATTTCCTACAACTCGCTTTATAATTTTCCAAGCTTTTTGCAACTCATTCTATAACATCCATCCCGATGTGGTATTCATGATGCAAAACTTGCATCGGAGTTGATCCTCTGGATTGGCTTGTCACTCTTGTGGGGATGATCATCACCGCTTTCTTCCCCGTCAGGCGCTTGCTGATCGTGTGATGCTTCTTTGTTCAAATACCTATGTGACACTTGTGTGGTTTGAGCATTGAAGTTA